GGATAAAGCATTTGCCGTTGATCAATCCCTTTTTGGGATGCGGCACGCATTCTACTTCCATTTGTACATTCGTAGTGGCGTTTGAATGCGATGTGGCCTATACAATGACTTGCGGGGGCCAGCCGATGTACAAGTCAGTGTTTTTATCCTCCCAGACAAGTCTGGTACCAATTAACCGACCCCGGAGGGATGGAAGGCTTGGTTGGCCCGGGCGACTCACGACCCAGGATTTGATCCCCGGACCGCTCGCGTGGTAAGCGCGCCACTTGTCACTACACCACTTCCGCCCTTGTAAATGATAGTTGTTAATAGTTATCAATAACAACTGATAGAATACAACTGCAACAGGCTAATCATTTCATTGGCAGAAAACATTTACATTTTGTGGAGGCCGTCGTCACTTGTGGTGTATGGTCTGCACCCCGCTCTTCTCGTTTTTTGAAAGGGAGTATAAGTTTTTGTAGGGGTTGTTGACTTGCAAGCCTATCTGAAGAAATGTCCGGAAGAAACACGAAAGTTGTTCGAGAAGGAATGCTCCGTTATGCTTGAGTGCAGGTACTTGCTAGTTCTTCTGTTGTTTCATAGTTTTGTTAGTGTTTCTTATGTTATATCCATTTCAGGGTCTGCAAAAGTATCTTTCGTAGTTTTGTCAACTTCTGTTCACACAAGAGAGGATTTTGCAGATCTGAGGCGCACGAAAAGCAGAACGTTAAAGGCAACAAAGCACAAGGTGGAGAGGCAGTTCCCAATTCCCTTTCTGATTTCGGTCTTTAAAAAAGTGCCTTTAGATGACTCTCTTGCACCAAAGAAGGGAGCCAGTTTGAGACGTACGAACTTAGCGAAGCATGTTATGAAAAAGGTGGATGTAACTGAGATTCCGAGTAACGCTGAAGATGTGAGACTTTTTCCGCGTTTTTGATGCTACTTTTGCAATAAGCTAGGCAGCTAAATATATTGAACTATTCTGTGAATATTGAAGGTCAATGGTCAAGCTGCAAAGCCCTCCTATGTTCATACTCTTCCTGCTATTCGGAGAGAAGTTGTAGCGGTCATGGATGCCGACGGAACGACGCATGTTCGTCGTAATAATATACTTTACGATTTCACCCAAATAGCCATCCTTTTTCTAGTGTTATGGTGCTTCCTATCAGTAAACTTTGCAGATTCATGCCCCATCGGTAAGTACTACTGCCAGCGAATTAGATCCCGATCGAGTACTCTTACTGCGACCGCAGGAAAATCCAAGCAGGTAGGATTTTTTTTCCTTCTTTTCTTTCATCTAAAGCTCGGAGTGTTTCAGATATCGCGGAATGAGCCTTCGCTTGCGGTTGAAGGAGGACGCAACCAGGTTGATCTCAAGGGATGAGGTAATTTTAATAGAAGTTTTCATGGTTACAGTTAATTTTGCTATAAATGTGATGCGCTTTCCGTAGCAAGAGTTTTGAATAGTGGACAAAGATTAGCTAAAGAGTTGTTGTTTCGCTTTGGCAACACTTGAACGAATATTTCAATTTCGCTGCATTAGTGAGGGAAGGTCAGTAGTTTGGTTCAGCTAATTTGGTGGGGTGTACATGCACGCCTTCTGCCGCGGAATATCATTCGTTTGAAGGAGGGGCAGACGATTCTTTTGGAAAAGTTCATTTTTCCTCGATGAGGACTCGACCGCTCTAGGCAGAAGTGCACAACGGTAAACTTCTGGTAAATAGTAGGTGGGGGTTCTAGGACAAGGGTTAGTGATTGGATCTCGCTATGAGACTGCCGTCACTCTCGGCGACGGACAAGCGATGGAGCGATTGCGATCGCTCTATCGCTTGTCGTTGCGCAATCGCTTGCAAAGTGCACAAGCGACGGGCGATGGCTCTGCTCGATCGATACCGCAGCCGACTGCATTCGACTGGGGGCGGGGCCAATCGCCCGTCGCTTGTGTGCAAGCGATTGCGCAATCGCTTGCCAATCGCTCGACCGAGAGCGATTGGCAAGCGACGGACAAGCGATGGAGCGATCGCGATCGCTCCATCGCTTGGTCCGTCGCCGACTATGACGTCGGTCTGAGCATGATTAGTGGCTTTTCTAGAATTACGATGTGAGTTAATAGGACTGAATTTCTCCGTTGATTTACTTTGCACCAGTTAAAGATTTTCGGTGGTGGTGTCGTCGGATGGGGCTTTATTGTGCGGACTGAGCCTAGGAGGAGGGTGGAAGTTCCGTGGAAATTCCGTTTTGGCCATCGATTTTGAAGTTGTTTTTGGGTCATCGATTTTGTTCTAACAACGAATAAGATCTATCATCATATATGAACTGTCATAAGTAGGGATCTATTGTCACGACCAATTAAAAGAAGGGAGGCCTGGCTCTCACAATGCTGCGATTTTGAG